TCAAGCTTACTCATCCTCAGGAGCTTCACTAAAACTCCCCTGGACAAGCCCTAGAGCAATGATAATCTAAGTATTATGCTAACCATGCCAGATGAGGCTTTTGAATAGGAAAACTCCAGAAAAGATATTTAAATTAACATCTTCAAAGACTAAGATGTAGCAGGGACCTGAAGTGGTATCTGCAGCCAGTTCCTTGCCTCTAAAGCAACCATGGGAACATTGCTAAGCACAAATTGATTTCCCAGCACAGGCATTTGTTTCAGAGCATGAAACTAGTTGCTCCCTCACCCTCTGAACCACACAGGACAGAGGGAAATAAAGTAGGAAACGATTAGAAAGATTAATAGTACAGCAAGACCTTGATCTTGTGATAAAATGCTCCTGATACCCAACTGGGCAGCAGTATCCAAATTCCTCAGGCTTCTTTACAGCATCAGCTCTCCAACTCTGAAAGAACAAATAGCAGGGAAGATTTCTGAAGAGATGAAAATGGTACATTTTCAACAGCCTGAGATGATTACTCACAAAATAGCAACAGCACAGAGGTAACTGATTGCCTCCCGGGCAAAAGTCAAAGTCTTTGCATCGTGGCTATGAAAGGATACCGAGATCAAAGGGAGGAAGGGAAAACTCTATTTTAGGCTGTCAGGAGCATAAAGGTCCTCCTGGCCCCTTGGCATCATGAGATACCAAGACACAACTAAAATCCTTCTCATGCTGCACCTGCCCAAGATCACTGTGCAGCAAGGAGAAACCCTTTATTCCAGGAGCAGGATGCAGCTCCTGCTCCATTCCCAGCTGAATTTTGGCAGCATCCATGCAAACACCACCACTCCCACCAACAGGAGCCAGGACACAGCGACCACGGTGTGCCACTGGTGCTCTGAAATAGGAAGTGAGATAAGTCAAACACTGAGCAAGGTGTTATTAATAACACTTAGCTATTGATTGCACGTTACATCTTCAAGCACTTCACCAACACTAATTAATTAAGGTGTTTTCCATTTAATGTGGGAAGGAGACTACAGCAAAAACATATGGCTAAATGGACTGACTGCCTGATTGAGCACAGCAAGTCATCACCTAAACTTCGGATTTCCACAGATACTGCTTTTAACCAAAGTACTGAAAACACAGGTGCAGGTTGGGCAAAGACACAAAGCCAAAAGATCAGAGGTGCACCCAGCACAGGCAGGGAGGTCACGGCTGACCACTGACCCGCCACAGCACCTGCTGTGATGCTCTGTTTGCATCCCCCCCTCATCACCAGCATCCCACCCCACCACTGCAGCCTGACCTGCACCACCAGGCACGGGCACATCTTTTGCTCACAACCAATCCAACCCATCCTAATTCAGACAAGAACTGCAACACGAGGGTGCTGACACGCGGCCGCACTGATGTTCCCGAGCGCTGCCTGTAATTGCTGTGCTAAGAGCCGGGGACATGAAGTATTGATTTCCACCCTGATCTGCATCCAAGTTTAGAGAGGCTGCAGCCAAAATACTTCTCCCAGCAAACTCGCCTTTTAAAAGAGACTGTCAGGACTGAGAGGTTCGAATGATTAACGCTCTCGCTAAGGACTGTAACAATGCACAAGTTCCATTCCTGCCCACCTACGCACACCCACCATCCTGCTCTCCCTCTTTGCTGAATTCTTCCAGTTTTGATTTAAATTATGGAAAAGAGGCCCTCGAAGTGTACCTTGCCACGGCAAAAATAGCTCACTGTAGCACAGAGAAGTCTCAGTGTGCACAAAGGGGGCAGAGCTATTACCTCGAGCTGTCTCAAGCTGTATGATAATTATACAAATAACACATTTGACAAACTCAGGATTAATTACCGACTGAGCAGGGCACAGAGACACATTCACCTCCTTCCACACGACTTGGGACTGACCTGGAGCACCTGCCTGTGGTGCTGTGATCACCAAGCTCCTTCCTATGAAAGAGAAGAAATCCTTCCCCGTGAGGGTGGGGAGGCCCTGGCACAGGTTGCCCAAAGAAGCTGTGGCTGCCCCATCCCTGGAAGTGTCCAAGGCCAGGTTGGACAAGGCTTGGAGCAACCTGGGATAGTGGAAGGTGTCCCTGCCTGTGGCAGGGGGGTGGAAGGAGATGAGCTTTAAGGTCCCTTCTGACCCAAACCACTCCATGATTCTATAAGCAAAGGGACTTGGTGATTCCACCACGTGCTTCTGCACCAGGACCAAAGCTTTGGCCACCCAAGCATTGCCACCATACCCCAAATTTGCACTTGCAGTTAAGTGGTTGCCACCCCATTCCCCATCCTCCTGCCTGCCTTTAATATATTTGCATAAATCAAACAGCTTGGCAGCCCTCCTACTTAGAAGACACACAACAGCAGAGCTATTCAGAGATTCTTGTTTTCACCCCATCCTTCCGAACATCGTCTCCAAATCCTTGAGGAAAAGCATGCGGCTCACTATAGATATCTCAGGCCTGTCTATACAAACACAGAGTGATGTAGCACAGCATTTATGGCAGTGTATAAACAATAGTACCAAACTTAGGGAGGAAACACAAAGCAGAGCAAATCTAATTGGTGGGTTTTGCGGAGATCAAGAACTCTCCCCCTTCTCCTCCCTAAGCATGATGAACACAACACTCTTCAGATGTGATTTTACACTTAACTGATTGGCTTCTGCTACAAAACCAGTGGTACATGGCTGGGTATGTGACAATTTTAGTAATGGCCTCTTAAATTTGTTGTGAAGGACAAAAATGCATCTACAGCCACAAGGCCATGTAGTCACACCTTGTTGGGGAAGTGTCCTTCCTCCTAACTCCTGGGCATCAGCACTCTGAGCTAAATTTGCCAGATTAAAGACTGGGAAGGTGGACCAAACATCCAGCAGCCATTGAAAATACCACTCTGGCACCCAGCTGAAGATGGGACCACTCGTCACAGGGACCCCACAGCTCTGAAGAACGTGTAATTATAGTTATTAAGCAGAAACACGCACACTTTGGGGAATGGAGCGCGTTTCTTTGGCACCTTTACAGTGTACTGACTGTTTTCCAGCGTGCTGATAGTAAAGGAACACAAAGGGGAGTTTTTTCCATTGCTAGACAGACTAGAAAACCTCTGAGGAATATCAAACAGAAGCCCTAACCCTTGAAGAACCTCACAGACATCCCTCCCTTGCAGGGACACGCTGCAGGAACACAGGCAGTGCCCCTCTGCAGAAACACACCAGTCTTCCCAGAAGTGTCCTGAGAAAAAACGAAACCAAACACTGAGTACACACACAGAAATCAGCGTGGACGACAGCAGGCAAAGCATTTTACCTGCTTTCCTGGCTGGAAGGCTGCATTTCCACGTTCATGCCCTGTACAGCATGTCACCATCTGCATTCCTGATCGCCCTGCTCCACAGGGGAGGATGGAGGCCGGCATCCTCCTTCTGCCCTTTCAGCAGATTTTTATGAAAGAAAGCTCCTCGGTAGCCTGGCTGCAGAGTGTGGCAGAGTGGCTGAGATTACACCAACAGCCACCTCTGCACAGCAGCTCAGAAAATGCCTGCCCCACACAGGTAACTTCACTCCCTGCGTCCCCACAGCCACCGGGAAGCTCGGCTGGGTCCAGCTCCTGCTGCACAGCAAACCCACCTGGTGAAGGATTAACTGTGTTTAACAAGTGCCATTCACACCCCACACCCCCGCTCCCGAAACACAGAGATACAACAAGCTGCATGGAATAAACTCACTAATTAATCCCTCTAAATCAGTTGGCGTTAACGCCACAAACAACAATCGCATCAGTTCCAACCACGGCGGGGTGGGGAGTTGGAACCAGATGATCTTTAAGATCCCTTCCAACCCAAACTGTTCTGTGCTTCTACAATTCCATGATTGCATCCTGGCGGGAGCAGCGATACCCACCAGGAGCTACGCTACCTTTAAAAAGCTTCCCCAAACCGCCACTGCTACTTTAAATAACGCTGAACCACTGTACCAAGAGATACTCACAGTAAATAAGTAACGAGTAAATAACAGCTACTGACGTTTTTATCACACAGGTGTAAATTCAGTTATCGAGAAAGGGGAAGCCTTGCACTATTTTTGCTCTGACACCAAGGCTGCTCGGGGTAAATTGTCATGCTAGCTTGTAATTATTTGGGAAATATACAGAAACGTTTAAATACGAATATATACAAAGTACCAGTGATCACGACACACTTTGATTAGTAGGGAACTGAATTTCAGCCTGGGGAGAGCAGGACCCCACCACGAGCGCCGCAGGAACGATTCAGACCCTGTTCTTCAACCTCCATGCAAAGCCCCCTCCGGCACCCCCTGCACCCCCCTTTTCCACGCTCGGCCCCCAGGCTTGGAGACAACTTTTCAGGGATTTGGGGAGCAGAGAGAGTGGGGGGGGGGGGTGCGCATCGCACAGGGGCTGTTCGAGCCTCCCCCCACTCCGTGCCGGGGTCCCGGGTGCTCGGGGTGGGCTCCCGCCGCCGTGCGCGGCCCCGACCCCGCAGCCCCCCCGGACCCCCGGGACGGGACGGGCCGAGCCGAGCCCGGCGCGGGGCCGGGGGGGGAGCGGCGGGGCCGGAGCGGTGGATCCGCGGCGGTAACATGGCTGCTTCCCTACCGAATTACGAAACCGGCTGTGCGAGCGGGGATTACCGGGGAGAGCCGGCGTGGGGAGACCCCGGGGCGGGGAGCGGCGCGGGGATGGGAACGGAGGGGGTGGCGATGGTGTCGGGGAGGCGGGGGGCGGCGAGGGTCTGGGGCAGGGATGGGGGTCCCTCCTCGTGCCGGGGGGGGCGCAGGAGCCGAACGAGGCGCCAGCAGCGAACTACCCATCTCCAAACCCACCGCCCAACCCGCTACCGGGGGGCCCGACGGGACGCGCCCCCCAAAACCACACAATGAACAATAACGGCGAGCGGAGGCGGCGGCCGGGGGGGGGGTGCCCCCCACGTGGCACCGATGTCCTGAGCCCCCCTCGCCCCCTGCCCGCGGCGGGACCCACCTTGAGCGCCGTGCGGGCCGTGCTCCATGGCCGGGTCGCTGCCCAGCTCGGCCAGGCGCCGGCCGGTGGCCGCCAGCTCGGCGCGCAGCGCCGTCACCTCCTGGCCCGCCGCCTGCAGCGCCCCGTCGATGCGCAGCGCCAGCTGCTTGTTGTCGTCCATCATGTGCAGGATTTTGGCCTGGGGGGAGGGAGGAAGAGGAGGAGAGAGAGAGAGAGGTGAGAGAGGGAGCGGCGGGAGGGGTGGGGGGGGGCGGGCAGGGGGCTGAGCTGGGCGGAGGGGGGGGCAAGGGGCTGCCGAAGGGGGAGCGGCGAGAGGGGAGTGGGCGGTGCGAGGGGGCGGCGCGAGGGGAGGGGGCTGGGGGGGTGCGAGGGGGGCTCTGAGAGAGGGGCCGAGGGGATGGGGGGCTCTGCGAGGGGGTGCAAAGGGGAGAAGGATGGAGAGGAGGGGGGCTCTGCGAGCGGGTGCAAAGGGGAGGGGGGCTCTGCAAGGGGGGGGCAAAGGGGAGGGGGACAAGTGGGAGAGGGGCTCTGCGAAGGGAGAGCAAAGGGGAGGGGGCTGTAAAGGGGACGAGGATCTGTGCAAAGGGAAGGGGAGTCCGTGTAAAGCGGTGCAAAGGGAAGGGGATCTGTGCAAGGGGGGCTGTGCAAAGGGGAGCAGGGGCAGCCTGTGCAAAGGGGGTACAAGGGGGCGGAACAGGTTGTACGGGGGGGTGGGGGGTACCCCCTACCTGTTGCCCCCCCCGGCAGCCCGGGCAGGATCGCGGCTCGGCCGAGGGCATCCGCGGTGGGAGCGCGGTGGGTGCGCGGCTGCGGTGGGGCGGGTCCCTCCCGCACGGGGCGGGCGGGCGGACGGACAGACGGACCCTGCGGCGCCCGCGCTGCGCTGGGAGCGAACCCCCCGCCCCGCCCCGCCGCCCCCCGGGAAGTTCAGGGGTGCTGCGGGGATGCTGCAGTGCCCGCGCCGAGCTCAAAATGCCACTAATGAAGAGCCGTGCTGCTAATTGCGCGCGGGTCGTACCCGGCAGCTGCCTGCGGCAGGTGGAGGAGAATGGGCTCCAAAAATCCCCCTGGAAGGATTTTGGCGGGGGAGAGGGAGAGCCACCTGAGCGCTGTCACCACTGCAGTAGCGTTAGTGCGAGAGCTCTTGCGCTGGCGGTTTGTGTGGCACGAACCCAGGGTGAAAAATCGAGAATTATTGGTATCATCCATTCGCTGGCGACTGCTAGAGGGAGCGCGGATGTTTCCCTGTGCCTTATCCATCCCTCTGAGGGATCCTCTTGTGTGTTTGCCAGGGCTGCAGCAAGCCTGCAGAGCTGCCACCCTGCCCACAGCAGCGCGCAGACGGCTTCATCCCACTGAAATGAGATCATAAAATCATGGAATGATTTGGGTCAGAAGGGACCTGAAGGATCACCTCGTTCTGACCCCACCCCCAACCTTCCACTAGACCAGACTGCTCCAAGCCCCATGAGCAGGGGTGCTTTGGAGACCATGTCCTGCATGGCTTTACCTCCCCAGTCTGTCCATGCATCCCAAATCATGGTGGGATTCTTGGGGTGTCCTGTGCAGGGCCAGGAGTTGGACTCGATGATCCTGGTGGGTCCCTTCCAGCTCATCATATTCTGTGATTCTATGATCTGCAGGCAGCAGTGCTGTGGGTTGTCACCTGAGCCACCTGTACCTGGAAAAGTTCACTAATCTTTTAGGAATGCCATGGGCAGGAGCCTCCATGTGTGGGGTGGGAGCCTCACAGAAACGGGAGTGGGTGTGGGAAGCTCAGCAGGGAGCTGGAGAGTGAGCCAGTGCTCTTGCCAAGGGAAAAACCAGAGGAAATCACGACCCGTAAGGAAAGGGTGAGAAACAGTCCTGCACAATTTGCTAAACCCTCCAATATTTGCCTAAATTCAGGCTTTTGGCTGAATAAATGGAGAATTTGTGGCAGTTCCTTGAACTTCAGGGTGTCCTACAGCACCGCTGACACTGCAGAGCCCTGAGCCAAAATGCAGCAGAAAAGATGAAAAAGGGCTCCCCTTCTCAGAGAGCTGCAGGGATGACTCTGGGAGAGGCTTGACATGAGAGAAAGTGGGAGAACATCATCATCCCACGTGGTGACATCCCGAGGGAGTGCAGGCATGAGGCTCTGCAGGAGCAGAGGGTTTGGGGTGCAGAGTCCCTGGGCAGCTTGTGGGAACTGAAATCAGGTAAATCTGTCACATCAGTCGGATGAAAAACATCACTAAGTCAGCCTTGGTCCCCCAAAACCTCAGATCTGATCTTGGGCGTGGGTACAACCAGTTCTCCAAGAGTCAACAGGATCAAGTCCCTATCAAGTGGCATCTAGACCTTACATCCATCTGGATCAATCCCTCTGGATATTGTAAAACAATAGAAAAATCTAGTATTTATTCAGAGAAATGGAACAGTGGCTTTTCCAAGGGACAGTTATTTCTGACTGAGGGTTTCCAGCAGTGTCTGCAACCCAACCACTTGTGCTGGGCCAGGGCACTTGGAATATCAGTGGAAAGGTCTGTTTTCCTTAATGAATTCCCAAAGGGCCAACAAACAACCCGCAAGGAGAATAAATGCAATTTTTGAAATTCTTTCTTCATCATCTCTGCAGCCATCCCCAAATGAGATAAAGTTCTTTAAGTATATATAGAAACTGAATTCTAATCAAGATAAATGCCCGGTTTCATACCTAATTTGCATGAGTATGTGCTGCAAACTGTGCTTGCAAATGAGAGAATTATGTATGTAACCAGATAACCTGAGTGTGCAATCCCAGTACCGTATATGCAAAACTTACTCATTGCACTTGAATAAAACTTAAGCTTCAGCAAAAAGGAACTCGGCTTTAAAGGACCAGCACATTATTTTTATCATAAAAAATCAGGTTAAAGTTGATTTGAACCTTCCAAGAACACATTTAGCTGCTGAGGCAAATTCCAAATTATGTTTCTTACTCAATCTAACCTTAATAATAGACTAGTTGAGCTGCTGCACTGCCAGAGCTGGAATTTTTTTTAATTTACTGACGAAGAGAATTTCTACATTAGTGCCTGGCTATTTAAAAAATCTGTCCTAAATTTGGCTGTGGACTCATGTGTGAATTAAAAACTTCGCTTTAAAAACCTTCATTACTACTTTCAAGTTCTCCTGAATTCCCCTGAAGATATCTTGAAAGATTTTTCCCCCTTTCCCATGCCTCCTCCCATCCTTACTAGGGAACAGCTGAGTCCATTAAAATTGATTTCAATCTCTCAGAGCAGAATTTGATTTCTCCAAGCTTCTGCCTGGAAAGAGCATGGAGTGTCCCAGCAATCCAGAGGCATCAGCCGGTGGAAAATGAGCAGTGCAGGCACAAGGATGAGGCATTCTCAACCCAACTGGGTTGTGTTCTCAGTCAGAAGGCCAAGCCTTTGCTGGAATACTCAAAATTGGGATGAAATGAAACTTTAGGAAATTAATTGTGCTTCGTTTGCTTTCTCCCATCAGTTTTAAATTAACGAAAAATTGAATTAAAAGGTAATTAAAGAGCCAAAATTAGAAACATATAATTTCCCAACATTGGGTTTTTTGTTTTGTTTTTTTCTTATTTCAGCTTTTACCAGGAGCTTGACATCTACTCAGGGAGCCTGTGTCCCAGATGGATGGGATCCCTGGCCATGCAGTTGAAGCATGGAGAGGTTGGGAATATTTCCTAGGGACACACAGGAAACCTGAGTCATTGCCAACAAGTCACAAATCTCTGTTCAGCCTTAGCTACACTCAGCATCTGTTCAGGTGGTGTAAGGGGAGCCTTGAAAACCTGAAAAAAACCCCCTCAGTTTTGGGCAACATGTTCTTGTAGTGACATCACATGCAGGCAGGTCATTCCTCAAGAACATGTTAATGGAATAAACAAGGATGGAGGAAGATTTCAGAGTACTACCCTTCATCTTTGCTCTTGTTTCAACCTAAAGAGTGCAGTAAAGAGAGTATGAGAAGATTTAGGAGATGAAAAAGGGCTGAGAAACACATGAGTACCATTCAGGCCTTCCAAACCCTTTAATTTGCTATTCAGATCACCACTTTTTATGGTTTAATATGTACAATATGCAAAGGAACCAGTTTAGCTAAATGGGAAAACCCTTCTGTGTTAAGGTTGAACGTAATCTAATAGGGCCCTTTGACTTGATTCAATTAAATCCTTCTTTTTCCAATTAAATAATCAGCCAGAATTTAATAAAAATGAATTTCAATGTGTCATCCTGCAGAATGATGACCCCTGTGATGGGGAAGGCTTATGTAAATTCTGCTGGTCGCTTTTTATCTGCCTCTGCCTCTCTTCCTCCAAAAAAAAATTGCCTTCTGTCTGTATATTTACATTAATTTCTCATCTGCTCCATGTATCTCTGTTTGCAGGAACAATCCCAGCTCAAAGGGCTGCGAGTATCAGCAGCTGCTTTCAGCACATCCTCAAAAAGGGACCTTCTGTGATGGGAAAATGGTCTCCAAAGCGGGATTTTTGATCCGTGCCTTGGGTTTGTTATGCCCTGGGACACTGGAGGGCAAAGAGAACTTGGCCCCTTCCAAATGTCACCAGAGGCATCTGCGTGGCCATTCATCACCAAGACAATGCAGGCCAAGACACCAGCAAACTCCAGCAGCAATCCCCAGGAAAAGCACAGTGTGGCCCACGTTCCACAGGCTCTGCCAGCACATCTCTGCTAAGTGACTCCCATCAAAGTCACAATAGTTGATAATATCTACATTTTTTTTTCCTTCTGCAAAGGTCACATTATTATTTCTATTATTTATAACTGCATTTCACCCCTTCTCACTTATAAAATACAGAGCACCAACTCTTTCCTTCCTCAGTTGGAATACAGAGCAGCATCTTAATGCAAACCTTGCTGATGTGGTACTGCTGTGCTGTAATAACTTATTAACGTAATAACTTATTAGCTTTTAAGTTATTAAAACAGAATTAGACAGAGCTAAGCATGGGCAGGTTAAAAATCTGAGTGAATGTTCTGTTTTTCCCTGTGATGCTGCTGTGCCACATTTCCCCAGCCCCAGTTCTGTGCGGGTTTGAAACAGTCCTGGCGACCTTCCTGTGCATCCCCCGGGACCGTGAAAACAAACCCATTAATGTTTATAAAGTGTCTCAGACTGGGGGAATTACATCACCACGGC